TTTAATAATTATTGGTAGAAAATTATTGTTTGACAATAATCTATAATTCAAATTTAATTATATAATTATATAAATTTTAGAATAATTGTTTTTACGCCAAAATTGATGGTCAAAACTATCAATTTGAATATTCAATTGGGTTATTAATTTGTTTTAATATTATGATTGACCCTAACTTTAAATTTTTCCATTAAAGTCCTGACCATCTTTCTTAAAATCAAGTCTAGTCCACGTAGCTTTGAAGGTTTCAATGAATCCTCTCAATAAAATTTTGAATCCCACCGAGAACCAGTTGGTCTATTCTTAAGCAAAGATTAAGGATTCAAATCTTGAAGTTTGCGAATGTAATAAAATGGGTTGGGAGGGTCGTGCATAATCTTAGGCATATCAACTTCTATTTTCCTCCATTTAGTGTTGGGAAGTACAAGAAGATACATGCAGATCAGGTTGGTATCTTATCTCTTCCTTATGAGATAAGGTTTCTCCATTGGGAGTATTACCCAAAGAATCTTCTTATGTTGAAATTACCATACGGCGACATAGAACAACTTTGGAACGAAGATGATCGTCAGGTATATTCTTTCATACTCTCTTCATCCAAGTGTTCTATAATGAGAAAAGATGTATAATTGATGTATTAGACATCATTTGATCTATGATCAAATATAAACATTTTATTATGAAAGATTTAAGGGAAATTGACCTTTCTCATTGCAAGAATTTAAGAAAGATTCCTAATCTGTTGGGAGCCATCCACCTTGAAATCCTTTGCTGCAGGGGTGTGAAAGTTTGGTTGAACTTCCTTGCCTCAATCATTTGTCATCTCTTAAAAGACTTGAGCTTCAGGGATGTCATGAACTCAAGAAGTTTCCCGAGATCCCAAATCATTGCACTTTGCAGTGTTTAGAAGAAACTGGTATAGAAGAAGTTCCCAGTTCCAAGTTATGCTTAAAAGAGTTATACTTATCTGAGACCCAAATTCAGCAAGTGTCCCTGTCTTCCTACTCTTTAATTAATCTTCAGTACTTGGATATGAGGGGCTCAAGTATTCAAAAGCTACACTGCAATGTTGACCTCCCTGGTTCGACCGAGATTTCAACAGTTGATGTGCGAGCCTTGGGTATTTGAAAGTTGATTATTGCAAGAGTCTCGAATTACTCTCAGAGCTTCCGCCGTATCTACGGTACTTGAATGCACATGGCTGCACGTCATTACAAAAAGTATCATTCACAGATCAAAATCAACATCTTTATGAACCCTGTTCTTTTGATTACAATGATGACTTTTTCATGATATTTTCTAATTGCTTGAGCTTGAAGCAAGATTCAATTGATAGCATCGCGGAAAATGCCATACTCAAAATTGGATCCGTAGCAGAGAAATGGACTGGGAAATATGTTCATGGTCCAAAAAAATTGATGTGTTGTTTCCCAGGAAACGAAATTTCAACAAGTAAGTTGAGTATCAGAGTGTGAACTCTTCATTAACTTTGAAGATAGACCCGAACAGGTGTAGTGGGAGCAGATACTTGGCAATCTAGAGGTAAGTTGCCTTCAAATTATTAATATATGATTTAGGTTCTTGTAATTAGTTTGTAGTGCACTTACCCCCTTGCCCATTTTCCTCATGATTTATCAATGGATTTCAATGAATTCATAACTCAGAACTTGTGGAATGGACGTATGGAGCCATTGGAGTTCAGATTGGTAACAGCTCCTGTGTTGATTTTTTTTTTTTCTTCAACTTTGATTATCAGATCAAATATTGCTCCTTCAATGACTTTCATTTAGCAACTTTGGGATTTCGTTGTGTTAAATCTATATGTGGGATTAGCAGAGAGCTTTCTGGATAATGCTGGTGAATCCAGTGAAAATTCCAACTTCGGTGACATGACAAGTGATGAATTATGAATCCGGCAACAGTTTTTAGTCTGCAGAAAAAGCTAATATTGAGGAAGTCTATGATGATGCACAGAAGAAGCTTTAGCTATGGTGGTGAAGGAGATACAAGTTCATGAGATCTTTCGGTCTGCTTTTTCAAGAGATACAAGTTCTCAACGTGTCACGAAAACCAAGGGAAATACTCATATACCAGCTAAAGCTGTGCACTTTATTTGCTCAAGTGTTGCTGGAAACATGTTTAATTGCTATGTTTATAAAAGGCACAAGTAGGGCTATAAATTAGATGAGACTAACCGCCAACTACTCGAGTTTGACTCGATCAAAGTTCAGTTAACACTCAAACCAATAACCATTGTCCTCTAGCACATTGCCTTACATCTCCAGAGATAATAAGCTAAAGGGTGCCCAATTCTTTAATCAAGTCCTTGATCTTGTTGGTAATAAGAAAAACACGAAATTTGTTATAAATTACAAAAAGGAAGAAACAGATTGTTATGTCTTTGCTTATCAAAGATTGAAGATACATATCATTATATCCAAAGCATCATGTTTTACATATATTAAACTACCGAAATTCTTTTATACATATATCAATTTGAATTGCTTACCAGTAATCCTGGCAAGAGCAAGCACCATCTTTGAAACAATGGAAACGATTCCGGTCACGAACAACAATTTCCCTACTGACAATTGATGAGATCAATTTGAAAGCTGCATGACAGTCTTCACAAACACGGAGGTTCTTCATTATCCTAATCACCGATCCAGGAGGCGTGTTTAACAGTCCAAAACAGAGTGCTAACTTTTCGCTATGGCGATATAGAAACTTCTCCTTCTCTTTCTCTTCTACGTCCAATAGAACAACCGATGTGTCTGGTTTATATCCTCTTAGCTTCATGTAATCCACTAGTTTCTCCCACATTTCAAATATTTCAATAGCTTGAGACTGTGAATCATCTCCGGCAACAAATTCATGAATGACTCCATCAACCAAGATCGAACTACACCCAGGTGTCTTCTTCACGCCACGGTTTTTCATTAGCTTCCTTACTCTTACTGCATCTTCCCATCTTTCAGCTTCAGCATAGATATTATATAAAACAATGTAGTATCCATCATTAAGAGGATCTAGTCGAGCAAGATGTCTAGTAGCTTCCTCACCTAGTTCAATGTTTTTATGAATCTTGCATCCAACAAAGAGAGATCCCCAAACAACTCCATTTGGTTTTATAGGCATATTCATTATGAACGCGTGGGCTTCTTGAAGAAGCCCTGCTCGGCTATAAAGATCAACCATGCAACCATAATGCTCAATCTCGGGTATAATGCCGTAGCCTCTAGTCATGCCGGAAAAGAACTGACTACCTTCAGCAACCAACCCCATATGACTACATGCATTCAAGAGTCCGATAAAGGTAGGCATCATCCCCATCTCAATCATCATTGAGAAAAACCCTTAGCTTCCTGAGCTTTTCCATGGATTGCGAGCCCTTGTATCATAGTTGACCATGACATGATTGTTCGTTCCTCCATCTCCTCAAAAACCCTCCTAGCTTCCTCCAAGCAACCACATTTCACATACATGTTAATCAAAGTATTAGAAACTCTAACATTACTTCCAATTCCACTTCTTTTGGAGTATTCATGGACTATCTTTCTCAACTCAAGTGCACCCAAATCAGCACAAGCTGAAAGAATAGCCACTACAGTGACCTCATTAGCCTACACTCCGATCTTCTCCATTTCCGTAAACAATTCAACCCCTTCCCTGGGCTTCCCGCTGTATACACAAGCAGAAATCATCATTGTCCACGACCTCACATTTTTCTCAGGCATACAGGAAATAACCCGTAATCACCCTCGAAATCTCCGTTTTTCACCAGTTGGGTAATCATAACATTCCAACTGACAACATCTCGTTGGGGCATTTTATCGAACACCAACCGAGCAGTATTCATTTCTCCGCACAATCCATAGAAACTCAAAATCATATTTCGCAAAACCAAGTTCCAATGAAACCCAAATTTCTCGATAACCCGATGAATGATCTTACCATTTTTATCATCCAACAATGCGGTGCAAGCTTTGAGAACGAAAGCGCAGGTGAAACTGTCGGGAACAACATCGAGTTCACGTAAACGACGAAACAAAAGGATGGCATCCAAAGGGGAACCACTTTCAGCTAAAGTTTTCACGCAAGAGTTCCAAACGACGATTTGGGGTTGAGGGAAATGGGTGAGAAGCCGATGGGCGTAAGAGATATCGTCGAGAGATAAAGCACAAACGGAAGCGATTCGAGAGGGAGTGATGAAAGAGAGAGGAGAGTTGGTTTTAATGAGACGGGCATGAGCCTGTTTCAGCTCTAATGGGGAATTGAAGTTGAAGACAAGGGTTTGAGCTGGTGAAGGAAGAGAGTTAAGTGAAGAAGACATGGTGATTTGCATTTCTTTCGTTCAACTTCAATTGGCTTGAAGACAAAGATTGTTTACATTTAGCCACTGAAGTTCGTTGTTTTAGAATGATTGGTTAAAAGTTTAGCCAAGGGCACAAACCGAGCTATTTATTCTTTGAGGTATTGGGTTCGAACACCAATAATATTAAGGGTATGAGCTTTAATGTCAAATGATTAAGAGTCATCTTTGAACAAATATTACATTGTATATATCTCGTATTAATCAAAAAATAAATAAATAAAATAACTCCAACCCATATTGACCTGATCCAAGACCAACTTGACCCACCCAACTAAGAGATATAAATATAATTTCAAGGATTTTTTTCTAGCATAAGTAAGATTTTTTAAGCCATGAAAATGGTGTTTTTAAGCCAAATGAAATGGACAATGCGTTCATAATCCATTAATCCAATCGCTAGGTTATTGAAAAAAAAAACTTAACAAAGACAACGGAATTGCAGTAAACTAAAACCAGAATGGCCCTGCATTCCACTAACAAGTTTGTTGCCAATGACCTTAAAACAGTCGTGTGTTACTTAAGAAATGACGACCGTATCTTCATGAATTTTATAACTGATACCTGGTTAACAATCTGAACAAAATCTCCAATGGTTTATATAATTCATTGTCTACTTCGAGTTGCCAATCGAAGGATCTTATTTGAAGAGTTCCGGATTAAGCCAGTCCCTGCAATCAGAAGGATTAATATGTAAAATCGTGCTCTATTAGAATATAAGAGGAGACAAGAATGTAGGAATTACATCTTAATGTCGTCGAGGTGGTCATCAAAATCCACAACATCCTGCCATTTTTCAGATGAAATGTAATCCGACAAAACAACATTAGCCGCTGGTTCCTTAATTACCAATCGGCTGCCTCCATCTGGTCCAGCCAGTTTCCAATTCTTGGATGCATCCCTTATATAAAGCTTGTGCATGACAAGGAGAATATTCCCATCAGTCAAAGGCATTGTATAGGTTATAGGACCATGAATACATCACGGATCCAAAACTTTTGAAGGAAAATACCTCAAAACGACCAGAGAGTTGAAATAAATTTCAAATCATCTAATTGGACTTAAAACAGTGGCTATCGGAGGCCATATGCTGTAACTAATGCACAATATGAGTTGAACTGAAAGTAAATTTCAAAAGATCTAATTTGGACTTAAAATAGCTATTGGAGGACATTCGCCGTAACCAATGCACAATAACTGATGGGCAATACAAATTTCGATGCAAAATAAAACAGTTTCACATTAATGGGCAACAGCAATACTTCGAGAACCTTTTTTACTAATAGTACTGATATTGTTATGCTTGGCATGTAGCATCATAAAAGACTAATTGAAGTTTGAAGCATCAAAAGCAAGAAACTAAGGATGGGGAGAGAGAGGGGTAGGGGGCATTTGGATGATTCACAAATGAATCCATGAACTGATTGAAAAAGGCAATGGGCCCTTGATCCTATCAAGTATCCCGATTCTGATAAAAGAGAGATGTAGAATTATACCTTGGAATCGGGAATGGCAATTGTGTTTGAGACTATACTGTCGGTACACCTATATGTCTACTACACAGATCAATACACAAACCAAATATACAAAACCCCAAGGTTATCCATGTACTCAGAATATGAATTCAACAGCTCCAATCATGGGAAGCAACCCAAAAGGGGAAAAAAACTTATATGCATATACAAAGCAACAGAAACCTTACGGCACAGCTAGATGCTTCTGAATTTAACTCCTATGCCAGTAAGTTCTCAGACAGAACTAATGCCAGCAATTCTATTGACCTTTATTTAGTGGTTTTTCCGCCTTAAACTTTGCTCCCTACTGCAATTGTGCTAATTTTCTAACTCATTACCACAGATAAATGGTATATCTCCCATGCAGTGAAAAATATGAGCCACCAAGGACCCTCCAAATTTATGGAAAATTCAAACAAGACTGACCATATTGTGTCGGAAATATACCCATATCCAACTCCTCATACCTGATTCTGAGTAACATAGGTGGAATCTTTTCCCATCACTTCCCTCAAATCAATCAAAAACAAGAAAGCAACATTTAATTAAAGCTTAAAACATCACAACACACCTGCAGTACAGGACTTTGGTCTTTCCCCTTGGGCAAAGCTGCAAGCTTTTTGTTATCCAACTACAATAAAGGAAATGCCATAAGCACCAAAGCAAGCATATAATAACACACATTGAAAACAGCAGAAGAATAAAATACATACCAAGAAAACAGCAGCTTGGGGAAAGTACCGACAAATATGATCACCTATATTCTTCGCCACAATGCCTAGCTCTGCATCACCAAACCTCTCATTTGCATGAAAATAGCCCACAATTCCTAAGCCCTTGGATCCATAATGTTCCTCAATCTGTTCAAAATCAACCCATCAGAACACTTCTAAATGAGTTTCAAATTGAAAAGGAAATAGTCCAAAAGGGTATTTTTTTAAGGGAAAAAATACTTTACCAAAAGAACAATAGTTTATAACAACATAATTGAATCTGCGATCAAAACCCAATAATTAAACCACCATAATCCTCTGATTTTTCAAACTAATCGTTCCAAGGGAGAATTTATTAAATGAATAAGAGAAATATATAAATCTATTTAACCCTAACAAAAGAGAGAATACTGATACCATGATGAGGGCGATCTCGAGAGGAGGCAACAAAGCAAGATTATAGTGGAATAGAGGGACTGAGTCGATGATCTCAACGACGCTTTCATTTTGCGGGTTGACTCGGCCGAGTAAGACGCCGTTGACCGCTGTGGTTTTGTGCTTCAGAGCATGTAGAACCAACTTGATGTAAGCGTTCTGTGAGATCTCGTACTTCAACTCGGCCACCATTTTGTGTGATTGAATAATAAGTTCACTGAGTACCCGAGTTTATTTGACTGCCGGCAATTGAATAAGAAGATGAGACGAAGACGGTAACGAGTGTGAGGGAGGAGCTTAAAGCCAACGAGTTAACTCGGCAGTGTAATTTCGTAAATATATATACATAGATATATCTCATACTAGAAATAATTTTACATTACGTAAGTTGATTTAATTATATATATATATACACTAAATTGACAGCGTTCGACGGTATTAATCGTTAGTGGTGTTCATCAGTACTCGTCGAGCATTATAAAAATCTTCATTGAAAAATTTATATCTATCTATATGGATGAGTCTGTCACACTCGACGAGTACAATTCTGATTACCATAAATTTAATTTATAAAAATTTCAAATTACTCAACGTATATAATTAATTAAATTTTAAAAGTAAATTATTTAAAATAAAATATTAATTTTATTATTTTTATAATATTTTTTAACAATAAGAAAATTTATAATTTATCTTTAAAAATAATATAATTAATATTTTATTTTAAATAATGTACTTTTAAAATTTTAATTAATTTATAATTATATATTTAATTTTTTAAATTTTTAAATTTTTATAAATTAAATTAATGATGTTCAATTGTGCTTATTATTAATAGTAGAGAAAATAACCTCAGTGACAAAAAATCCTATACAATATACGATTTTAACCAACTTTTTCCGGATTTGCCAAAATGACCAACAAAATCGCAATGCGATCGCTAATTCGCAACGCGATCTCCATTATCGTAAATCAGTTTCCAGATTCGCAACGAGATTATGACTATCGCAATGCGATTTTCCAATTTCGCGTTGCGATTTTCCCAATTCGCAATACGAATAAGTAAATCGCAATGCGAATTTGGAAAATCGCAATGCGATACTGACTATCGCAATGCAATTTTCCTAATTCGCATTGCGATTTACGTATTCGCGTTGCGATTTTCATAATTCGCAATGCGAATACGTAAATCGCAACGCGATTAAGTAAATCGCAATGCGAATTAGGAAAATCGCAATGCGAATACGTAAATCGCAATGTGAATCTTACTATCGCAATGCGATTTACATAACGCCATTCATATTAACGCGTATTTTTTTTCAAATTCCAAACACGAATTTTTTCTTAATAAATCGGAAACTGAACCGTCCACAGTAATCGCAACTCATAACCTCAAACCTAAAATCACAACACTCAGTCCCATCTCCATCTCTCACTCTCTACGGCGAAATCCGTCCCCATCTCCGAAGATTTCCGTCCCCATCGCCGGCGAAATCCCTCACAACCATTCACAGTCAGAAATCCCTCACAATCATTCAGAAATGGAAAATCAACCTCCGAGGGTTAGTTTTTTTTATTTTTATTTTGAAATTTTTGCATTATTTTAGGTTTTTCATATTGAGATTGATGATAAGTTTACTGGTAATTTCAATAATAGATTAACCATTTCACTTAGATTTCTTATTAAATTCATTCGGTTGCTGCCAATACTGCTAAACTGTTTAGCTTGTGAAATTAGTATTTGTCTTTGTTTTATCTTTTGGTTGAAGTAATGCAGAAGAAGAATAGTTTCGAGAATGAAAATCGCAACGCGGAAATAACTATCGCAACGCGAAATTAAAATCGCATTGCGATTTTCATTTCGCGTTGCGATTCTCTCGTTGCGATTTTCATTTCGCGTTGCGATTCTCTCGTTGCGATAGTCATTTCGCGTTGCGATTCTCATTATCTCGTTGCGATTTTCATTTCAACCAAAAGACAAAACAGTGTTGCAAATTTTAGTTTCAAGAATAAACTACTATTTATGTTTATTGTTTTTGGTATATCTTCACAGTGTAGTTTTTGGTATATCTAACTTGGTATGTTTATTGTTTTTGTAGAAAATTTTTTCGGCTTCATTGACATTAAGGAATAAAGTTAGCCTAGCCACTACAATTGCTTCGAAGCTTTCACCTGCACAAAGAAAATTGTTTGAGGAAACCTGCTTCGGGCCATGGCTGAGAGTACAGCATCCGGGTGGAGATGCTAATTTGACCCATTTGTGGCTTCAGACCATGACTAGCGATCTACCCGACAGTATACAACGTGGTGAGGAAGAGATATGGTTTCATTTTCCACCGGCGTATACTTGTTTTGGGCGGAAGGAGTTCTGCTTAATCACTGGTCTACGATTCGGACACGATGATGTAGGCCGGTACACTCGTCACAGTACCCGTCCATCATGGTTATCCAGGGTTTTTCCTGATGAGTCAATAGAGAAGCCGAACTTACACGTCGACGACATGAAGAAATTGTTTAATAAGAAATATGGTTTGACTCGGATGAATGACGTCGATGTTGTCTGAGTATGCCTTCTACTACTTTTGTATGCCGGCTTTTTAGGTAGAGAGGCCAGACAACCTATTCCTCAGGAGCTAATATTATTGATAGAGGACCTAAATGCATGGAATCTGTTTCCGTGGGGTTCGTATATATGGAAAGCTACCTGGACTAAGTTGTCGTCTGCCTTTGATGACCGTAAAAGTTTGCGGGGCGATGGGTTGAAATACACTTTGTCAGGCTTTGTTTGGGCCTTTAAGGTAAGAATTTCTATATAATGTTTTCAAAATTATAATTAATTATTTAACAATTACTAATGTTTGTTATTATATTGTTTGTAGATTTGGATATTCGAGGCCTTTCCCGCCATGAAGGCATATGCAATAAAAACTTCAAATGATATTCCCAGGGCTATTTCCTGGAAGAGGAAACGTCTGTTGGATTGGGAAGATTTAATGCCATATGCGACAATAAATAATGTAAGTTAACACAAATACTATCATATATAAACAAGTTATTAATAGTAGACGTTTAACTTTGTTTGAGTTTTTATATTTTTAGGAGGCCAACATTCCATTAATGAGACTGACACCCACGGAGGCTGAGCTTGCCACTGATTGGTGGCAAGCTAGTCAGCGTTTTCTTGATGGCACGAATGATGAGCAGCCTCCACTTCCTCCACTTCGAGAGCCATCACCTCACCCAGAGCCATCACCTGATCGACCCGACTATACACCTCTACAACGAGAGCCATCACCTATCCCGTCACATCATCGAGCCTCTTCTCCACCATCACCTCATGATAGGCGACCGGCAAAGATGCCACGACTTCTATCTCCCTGTTCTCCACCTCCACGGGATGAGTCAAGGGAGTTATGTGATGAGGTTAATGCCTTGCGTGAGGAGATCGGTACTCTACGCGATAACGATGGTGCATGGCGTGTGGAGGTGTCTACTTTACGTGGTGAGGTTGCCGCTCTACGTGAGATGGTAGTATCGTTACAGAATGAGGTTCATACTCTACGCAACGAGGTAAGTTTAAGATTTTCTATATTTAACTTGATGATAAATTTACTCGTAATTTCACTTAAATTAACCATTTTACTTAGATTGCTTAGTAAATTTATTCGGTTGCTGCCAATACTGCTAAATTTTTTATTAACACTGTGAAGTTAGTATTTGTCTTTTTGTTTTGTCTTTTGGTTGAAGTAAATTTATTCGGTTGCTGTCAATTCTGCTAAACTGTGTATTCTTTAACACTGTGAAGTTAGTATTTGTCTTTGTTTTGTCTTTTGGTTGAAAGTTTGAAATATATTTGTCTTTGTTTTCACTGTTTAAATATCATGTCTGTTTATTTACTGATATTTGTATTTAATTATTTAGCGGACCGATAAGGTGGATGCTTTACATCGGGTTTTTCTTGAGCGACAGAGTTCACGCATCAGATGGCATGCACGTGCTATTAAGTCTCCGTATACCCCAATAGTGCGAAGACACCGCAAGAAGAAGCCCGACTCGCCTGTCATCCCTCAAGAGTCCACTCCTATCGTTGAAGAGGCCCCTATCATTCCTCGAGAGTCCCCTCCCACCTTTCAAGAGGCCACTGTCATCGTTGAAGAGGTCCCTTCCACCATTCAAGAGCCCGATTCACATGGTGTCATATGTAGGATTCTTGAGAAACCCTCTGACGTGCCGGACATGATGGATTCAAGTTGGCTCTCGTATGAGTTACCGGCCAGTACCATACCGGTATCTGAAGTGGAGAGGAAACAACTACCGGACACAATTCTGGATAACACCCTTTAGGCTAAGACCGCAGTTGATTTTTATCTACATGAGCGGAGCCAGGGGTGTTTCACTGACATATGCAAGCTCAACGATGATATTTATTTGTTGCTTGATCGCATTGCGATTTTCATTTCGCGTTGCGATTTTTATTTCGCATTGCGATAGCCATTTCCGCGTTGCGATAGTCATTTTCGTGTTGCGAAAGTAAACTATTCTTTTTCTGCAAATTGAAACTTGAATGAATTGCATTACTTCAACCAAAAGACAAAAACAAAACCAAAAACAAATACTAACAAAAACAGTTTAGCAGTATTGGCAGCAACCGAATGAATTTATTAAGCAATCTAAGTGAAATGGTTAATCTAAGTGAAATTACGAGTAAATTTATCATCAAGTTAAATATAAAAAATCTTAAACTTATCTCGTTGCATAGAGTATGAACCTCATTCTGCAACGATGCTACCATCTCACGTAGAGCGGCTACCTCACCGCGTAAAGTAGACACCTCAACACGCCATGCACCATCGTCTTTGCGTAAAGTACCGACCTCCTCACGCAAGGCATTGACCTCATCACGTAACTCTCCTAACTCATCCCGTGGAGGTGGAGAACAGGGAGATAAACGTCGTGGCATCTTTACTGGTCGCCTATCTTGCGGTGATGGTGGAGAAGAGGCCCGATGATGTGATAGAATAGGTGATGGTTGGCGTTGTGGAGGTGTATAGTCGGGTCGATCATGTGATGGCTCTGGGTGAGGTGATAGCTCTGGGTGAGGTGATGACTCCCGAAGTGGAGGTTGCTCATCATCTGTGCCATCAAAAAAACGCTTACTAGCTTGCCACCAATCAGTGGCAAGCTCAGCTTCCGTGGGTGTCAGCCTCTGTAATGGAGTGTTGGCCTCCTAACAATATAAAAACTCAAACAAAGTTAAACGTGTACTAGTAATAACTTGTTTATAAACATATGGTAGTATTTAT